ATTGTTTGATTGAGCTGATTCACGGCTGACTTAAGCCATCGAAAAAGGGTTCTGACACGACGAAAAAAAGCTATGACCTCGCCCCGTCCTAAGAATCGGCTAGAGATTTGTCAAAAAAAGAATTTTTTTTGAGAGGCGCTGCGCAAAGTTCAGTCGTTCCACAGGTTGAAACAATAAAAGTCAAAAATTAAAAAGGAAACTCGCTGATTCCTCGTGTAGACTTGGAGAAGAGCTCTTAGAAAAATATTGCAAAAAAGATTTGCTCTCGACAGGTGTCGAACTTACTCAAAAAAGTCATGAGACTGGCCCTTCAACCACTGCGCCAGGCCACCTCGAAGACAGAGGAAAGACAGGAATCTTCCTTGATTTCTTCGAGAAGCTTTTTCTCAGAAGCCTATATGGTTAAGCTCTCTTGTTTCCAAGAGTTCTTACCCAAGTCTATAACCCACCATAGTTTCAACTTTATACGCCTCCCTGAGTCCTAGTAGTTCCCTAGTCAAAAAAAACTGATTTTTTTGAAATCTGATTTCGACTCCTAAGTTTTAAAGGAGCCATCTGTAGAAAAGGAACTAATTGAATTTCCATTCGAAAAATCTAATTTTTCTGGCCTCTCTTTTCCCTGGACGAGGCTCTTTTTGAAAAACCACTTTAATATTTCTATGTAGTTTGATGTACAAGACCCTTTCAAATTGAGTCCTTAACGAGAACGTCTCATTCGAAATTTCGTTTCTACACTCTAAAAAAATGTTTAAAATCGTCAAAAAGTTGCCAATGACTCTCGAGTCATTAAAAAAGCAGCGAAAAAAAAAATTGAGTTTCATAGAAAAACTTTATTCCATGATACTAGCCAGAAAGAATTGGTTGCGGATATTCCTAAGGCAGGAGGGGAGGATTCGTCCGCTGGGTAGAAGTTCCAGTTTTGTAGATTGGCCCCATAGTGAGATCCAAGGTTGGTCGAGTTATTGGATGGTCGGTTGGCTTGGCATCGGTGATAAACACGAGAATAGCCATCAGAAAAATCAGAAACAGCTTCATCTTCTGGAAATTTCTCTTCTTTAATATGATTACATTGCAACGGCTTGAAGTTTCTGGCCAGAATGCGTCGCGGTTGCGATGCGGTTCAGAACAAAAAAGTCATCCTTCTCTCTATAGCACATCCAGCTTTTCACCTTTTTTCGAGCTACAAAAGCCCTTCCGGGAAGCTTCATTACGATGCGCGCGGCCTGTCCTTGTGTATGAGCCTTTAATATAACGAAATTTTGAATAAAAGGCTAAGATTGGAAGGTTCAGGAATGGTTCTGAAGCTCAGAGGGGGATAAAAAATTGTGACAAACTGCCGCGGAATGGACTGGCGATTTTAGTGAAACTTTGAAGGAAAAAAAAATTGAAGCTGTCCAGAAGGAATACGTAATAGAAGTTTTTCATGAGAATTTTCCTCGCCGCTATTTAAATAGATGCTTTTGGATCCCATAGAAGCACAGTTTCCATAAGATGGTTAGTTCTTAATTTGTTCGTGTGAAGGGAAATTTCGATTGTTTCATTGCTCTTTCGATTGGTCTAACAGTATCTGAAAAAACTTTTCTGGCGACCTTTGCTCCCAGATTCAAAAAAATATATATATGTTATCATGGAAATAAGATTACCCATATCCATTTTTGGGAATCTATGAAAAGGAAAATATTCTTTTAGATTTTTTCAATAAAGTTTTCCGTTCCTTGCGCGTTCTTTTTTGGTAAAGTTCATGGCATATCCCATGGTTTAGACGCATGAGGAATGGCTTTTCTATAGTTTTTTGTGAATTAAGAATATTTCTGTCGATAAATCGATTCCTTTCGCACTGTCCTGATGTTAATCTGAAAGAATTTGTATTACTAGTAGATGAAGCTGTTTCTGAGGCTTCTTTTGATTTTCTTGGTCTTTATCGCGGACGTTACGCTTTCTGGAAATCCTCGTTACTTCACTGTAGAATCTCTAGTCGAAAGAAAGATGTGCGAGAAGCCTTTTTTACAGTGAACTTTTCACAAAAATCTCTTTTCCCCGAATATATCCCTAGCGTTTACTGACTCTCTGATTGGAAAAAGTATTTTATCAGAAAGTTTTTATATAGTCAATCCAAGTCAATTTTTCCCGCCTTGAAGAGATGAGTTTATTGGCAAGGGTGAAGCGTTGCGTGTGCGACGCGGCTTTTTTTGGCGAGGGAACTCGAGGATTTTCACACGAAAAACAATGGAAGAATGGAGAAAAAATAAGTTTTTTTATTAATTTTATAATTTCCTTCGTTCAACTGAATCTTTTTCAAACCTATAACACAATAAAAAGTTATTGGAAACTCTCAAAAAAATGAAAAAAAAAGAGGCCTCGTTTTCAAAAAGCCGCGTCGCACACGCAACGCTTCACCCCTGCCAATCTACCCACCTAGAAAAAATGGGTAAAAAATAATTTGAGGTAGTTTTGCAATTCATGTTATGAAAATTTGAAAATGATAACTTTTTGTTGAAAGTTTGAAAAATTCTCAAAACTTATTCCCTTTTCTTACTGCATTTCTTATCCTGATATTAATGATATCCGTGGACTGGCTCTAGTGACATATCCGTCCTTGTGTGTGACGGCTGGGGATTATGAAGTCGTGGTTTCCCACTACCAACATTTCTTAAACCCCTTGGTTGGGTCGGGGCGGGGATCGAACTTGTGACCCTGTGTACCGTAGTCAGGCACACATCCTGCTGCGCTACGGCGCGCCCACCCGGGACTGAATGACCCTTTTTTCTCTAAAGAATTCCTGTTTTATTTTAAATAACATTTTATCGGCGGCTGTGTCGATTTTGAAACAGAATATCACGTTCTGCGTTTTATTTGTGAATTGAATGGTTTTTTGTTTGCTCGAAAAAGAAAAACATTGCAGAAACGGTTTCTCAGCAACACGAAAAAAAGGCTGACAAGTTTAATCGAATATAATATTAGGTTTGTGGGTAGTTGTTCTCGGTTCCTAAGGGTCGCAAATGCCAAACGTGCATTTTCT